GAAAAAGACTTGCAGCTTGCCATGGAGTTGTCTGTCCGAGAGCAGGAGGAACGGGAGAAGCAACGTCGTGAAGAGGAAGATGCAGAGCTTCAGCAAGTTTTACAGCTTTCTCTTGTGGAAAAATAACTCCGTAGCGATCTCCTGAAATAAGGGTGACCCAAATCTGCATAAAACTGAAGCCTTTCAGAGCTGTCAGTCTGAAGACCACTCCTGGATTGCTTAAGTAAACATTTCACCTGCCGCCTTAGTTGGCATCATCAGCCACGAAGAGCTGATTTATTTTTGTTTGAGGGAGTTTCAGATCACAGGACTCTGCATTTGGCTCCCCAGCCACGCAGTCTTAGCTTTGAAGGAAAAGTTTTTATCTCAACGTATTTATTGAAGAGCAGATGGAAACTTTGCTTAGCATCAGGATATAGGATTGCAGTAAAGCTTGAAAACCTGATTTATGGGGACTTCAGGAGGGAAACTTCATTACTTACCAAAGAAATATTCACCTGCTTAGTCATTTCTGAATAATTCAAAGCCATTGTCTGTTTCTTCCAGTTGTTACATGGAAGAGTATCTATATGCGCATATACACACATACAGTAGTTCTTCATGCTGACAGTGTACCACGCTGACAGATGTTTTCTGTTAGTTTTGTTTATATGTGATTGTCTCTTCTCTAGTTACTGAGATTTTATCATGTGCTCCTGCTTAAGAGGGATAATTTTATACTTGAACAGCTAATCCAAGCTCAAGATTAAACTAGTGCTTTCTGAAAAAGGACAAAACAAGTAGCCAGTAAAATTTTAGATCCTAAAATGGGACCATCTGTCTAGTGAAGTAGCAGTTTCTGCAGTGATTCAAAACCAGCTAGTTCCCATAGTCAGAGGGCAGCAAGAAAATAAGCGATAGATACAGGTGCTTCTTGCGATCATTTGGGGTGTGTGCATGAGTGCGTGCCTGTGTGTGGGTGCTAAATTCAAATAGAAAAAAATTCAGGTGAAATTTTAATGTATACTTATTGGAAGATAAGTTTTAATTCTGTCATCTGAAAGGGAAACGTGTGTTGCTTTTTAAAATTCAAATGCTCATCCTTCATGTGAATACATATATATTTTTTTATCTGAATATTTTTATTGATTTTAAAACAAGCCAATATGACTACACTCATAAAAATGGTATTGTAACAATTTGCAAGTATGTTTTAACCAGCTTTCCTCAGGTCTTTCGTCATACGATATATTTGTAGCTATTTTATCTGCACTTCTGTCAGTGTTTACAGTACTTAGGCTGTGACTCTCAAGTGCACTCCACAAGTACACAATGTACATCCACAGGAAAGCCTTATGGTAGTTAAATGTGAGCAATATTCCTCTGTTCTGGCTGGCAGAAGTGTGAAGAACCTACGGTACATATGGTCTGATCTTGCTACCTAATCCTGCACTTGTTCCTTGGGCAAAACAGGGCGGTTCTGTGTGACCAACTATTAACCAGTATAAAATCACTATAAAATGGATTTGATCATAACCAGTGAGATGGTTGGTTACTCGGAACCCTATTTTAAACCAATAATCCATTGTTTCACATAGCAAAAGATTAAAATTCCTTCAGTGTACACTAGAACTGGTATACCTGCACCATTTTTGTTTAATGATACAGCTTGCATCCCTAAATAGCTTATTTGGTGTTTGCAGGAATGTTGACTTTCTTGCACAGTGGCAGTGGTCTATGTTGGAATTGCATCTTTCTTTGAAAAGGGGATTACTGTGACTTTCACAGTTGGAAAAAAGGGAATAAGCCTTGCATTGAGCTCTTGACAAAGTTGTGAGGTAGGAGGTGAAACTGTGGGTTTTTCCTCCAGTGGAAATAAAGAGTGCTGTTGCCTTTATAAAACTATCTGTCTGACATTGCTTTTCTTCTATTAAGCATTTCAAAGGTTACAAGGGAGGGGGGAAATACCTTTTTGCAAGCTGACTTATTCTCTGTTTTTTATGTTGTAAACTAAAGAATATTGAGCAGTTTCAGTTCAAGTTTTGTTATGCTCCTGCTTCTTAGTCTGGGACTGTAAAAAAATTTGGGTGGTAGGTTTTTGTTGTGGGTTGGTTGGTTTTTTTCTTTCTGTGACATTTGCATCATTCCATCTAAACTAGAAGGCCCTGCTTCCCTGAAACAGGTGCTGCTCTCCTTAAACCCTGCTTACTTTTTACCCATAGAGTGTGAGATGCATCCTCTGATCCTCTGTGTGTGCTGGAAGAAAAAACAAAGATACTGCAGTGTTACACTGTGCACACGAGTATTTTTTTTTCTAAGATGGTAACTGGAGTCTTTAATAATGATCCTTATCATGCATCCTCTGATCCTCTGTGTGTGCTGGAAGAAAAAACAAAGATACTGCAGTGTTACACTGCGCACACGAGTATTTTTTTTTTTCTAACATGGTAACTGGAGTCTCTTTAATAATAATCCTTATCTGCATTTTTGTACATCAAAGGTGACACTATCATCTATGAAACTATCAAAGATAGTTCTGGTTTAGCCTGAAACAGACACATAATCCCTGGAAACATTTTTCTGACATTTTCAGCCAACCTTCGAGTCTCCCTGTGTTGACGACAGGGATCAGTACAGTACAGACAGTTCTAAGGCAATGAAAGGCAGGGTGGTGGTAGGACTTCAGCGCTCTCGGCTGGTTTCTGTGTGTGCCTTCTTGTGAGTAACAGAGAGAGGAGAGCGGCAGAGGGTTGCACTTAATAGTAATGCTGAGACTGCTGTATGAAAGCCGAGTCCAACTTCTCTTTCCAAGGAAGCTTGAGGCTTATGTAGGAAAGCAGAAGCTCAGTTACAAATACCTGTAGTTTCTTCTGAAACTGTAACTAGCTTTCAAATAGCGCAATTTGAAGTTCTTCAAACTGACACCAATTTCCACAGTGTTGGTGCTGTGTGTCTGTATCTGTTCCTGAAAGTGAGACAAAGTAGGTACTCTTTTGTGCTTTTGGACTGTCGTTTCAAGCAGGTAGGCTATGTACAGCAAGAATTCACGATGGGCTTAATTTGGAAATCCTTCTTATACTGTTTTGGCTGACTTTTGATTCAAAATAGATAGTCTTCCTAACTGAGTTAACTGAACTTTACCTGTTAACATCTGCTGGTAACTGCACTACACTTGCACAATAAGGTTTCATTTTCAGTTTACTCTTAACAGTTCCTGGCTAACAAGCACCCATGAAAACAGGGGCTTCACCCAGCTCTTAGTATCACACTGCTGTCCTGCCCCCTGTTCCCTCACCGTTGAAAATGGGGTAAGAACTGTAAGATTATCAGAGGTGGGAAAGGGGACTGCCTCATCCCTTCGTACAGCTACAGCTGAGTTAATAACAAACAGAACAGCCATGAATAAATAAGAGCCCTGGATTGTTTACTTAGCTTTTTATTTGTACAAAGAGACATAGCAGGGAGTGAAGAATGAATGCAAATAAGAATGCTGCTCCTGGGAACTCGGAGCTGTAGCCGCAAGCTACACCATCCATCCCCCCCCAACAGCACACGGGTACAGGCCAAGTTTTACACCAGACAAAGGACCAAGAAAAGTCAGTGATACAGGGCTCGGTCATCAAAAAAAAGAAAAGGATCAGAAAGCAGTAGAACAGTGTTACCTTGCTTGCTCGCTCATGTTTCACTTAGATTAGTAACTAGATCCGTTCTAGGCCAGTCTCCCACTGTCGCTTTACTAATAGAGCAGCAGCAAAGAAAACCCCCCATTGCAATCAGTGGTCGGTGTCCTTTAAGACAAACTAAACAGAAAATGTCAGATGCAGCACAAGGTTTTAGAGAACTGGTCACCACAATTGTTCTGGAAGTTAAGTTTTAAAACGCTAAATAAATTACTAGCCAAAACACCCCTATGTTAAATACCAAAGTAATACTTAATAAGCAAAATCCAGTTACTACTCATAGCAGTGCAAAACAGAATAGCAGCATTCATATGCAAGTGTGATTTCAGTGTAAACACTTGAATTTATTACTGAAACTGCATAGAGCAGGTCTGTCCGGAGCTTAAACACAACATACTCCTAGAGAGCCTGAGCCCAGCAGTCCCAAGCATCTGCCTGGCTTGCAAACTTTTGGAGGCTCCTATTTCCAGTAGGACAGTAACCTGCTCAGGAGCACAAATCCACCTGCGAGGAGAGGAGTGGTCAGCACAGGCTGGAAACCCTCGCCGGCACCCCAGTTCGTAACAGGTTCAGCATGGCTGTTTTGGTGCAAGGCTGCTTGTGGCTGTTTAGGTAAGAGTTAAAGCAAATAACGTCAGGAATGACAAGCCTGTCCCTAAACAGCTACACCAGGGTCTGCTCATGCTTCAGTATTTCTGCTCAGAGGTAAGCACATACCAGCCCCCCACAGCCACAGCTGCCGTCGGTTGCTGAGCTTTTGCCCTTGGACTATTTTTGAAGGCTGCGCTACAAACACTCAAGACTCAGCATTCAAGCAAGGAACTGAATTAACCGGAAAGCAAAACTAGACGTGGTGTAACTGAGCGCTTGGGCCTGCTCGACAGACAGCGATGTTAATAGTCTGGCCGAGTTCTCGTGCTGACGCAGGGCGGTTCCCCGGGCACTGATCAGAACGGGCGTCACGGCCGGTCGCGCTCCCGGCAGCCTCCCGAGGCCCCGGGTGCTCACACGCGCCAGGGATGCTCTCGCGCACATCGTGTCAGATCAGCCTCGCTGAAACGCTGCGTTTTGGGAAGAAGGTGCGTTGCTACAGGCCCTGCTCAAACCCAGCCGGGTTTGCTGCGGAAGCGCTCCCGGGAGGTCCAGGAGCCAGTTTGCTGAGGACTGGGGTGTGACTTCCAGCACCCAGCCATACCGTCATTGAAAGTGACATAACAATGGAGCCACAC